GTATACCTTGTATACCTTGTACACCTTGTATACCTTGTATACCTTGTATACCTTGTATACCTTGTATATCTTGTATACCTTGTATACCTTGTATACCTTGTATACCTTGTATACCTTGTATATCTTGTATATCTTGTATAGCTTGTATACCTTGTATACCTTGTATAGCTTGTAAACCTTGTATACCTTGAATACGTTGTATACCTCCTATACCTTGTATACGTTGCATGCGTTGTATATATTGTATACATTGTATTGTCGACATCAAAACGTAGACAATTAAAGTATACTCGTAAACTACCATCACTACCCTGAAGCTTTTATATGTTAAGGATTTTTGAAAATGTCTCTAGCAGAATGTGACAAAGTTAACCAATTTTTTGTTGCTATACATATTAAGATATGTAAAACACAAAATGTGTTTTATCCCACACTCAATCATGTTTCTCAATTTCTCACGTTTTGGTGATTCTAGTTTCCCCAGTTTACATATTTCGAATTAGAAAATTCCTTAAAAAAAATTTTTGTCCACTAGATCAACTGAGTACGTAAAGATAATTTTTGAAGCAACGGAAAACAATATATATTGTTGGAAATTTGAAATACATTGTTGAAAGTATAAATATAATAATCGTGGCAAATTGCTTGCGCAATTAAGAAAAAAATAATGAAGCATATGATGTTACATTTACCAACATGTTTGAAGAAACGTCAATATAACGAAAAAATCCACCCACCTGCAAGTGAGAACGAGCCTTTATGCATCTTCTCAGGTTTTGAGATAATTATTTTGGTCTGGACACTGTGCAGTTTTATAACTTTTTGGCGTTCTAAACCTAATTGTGTTGATGATTCACATATACTAGACTTTCTACATCATTGACCATTGTGCTTAAGACCCTGGAAAGGATAGTTGATAGATACCTAAGGGATGGCCCACTGGAAAGGTGTGTCATTCATGCAAATCAGTTTGCATACCAAGCTGGAAAATCGACTGATCTGGCCTTACACAATCTGGTCGGGAGGCTGGAGAAGACTCTAGATCAGCGAGAAGTGGCACTCGTGGCCTTCTTGGATATTGAAGGTGCATTTAATTGCACCACAACCGACTCTATCAGACAGGCCTTGGTTAGACACGGGGTTGGATCAATCCTAATAGATTGGGTCCTCTCTACTCTGGAGGGTCGGGTAACAACAGCTATGCTGAATAACGTAAGCTGCAGCGTGAACGTAGCTAGAGGCTGCCCTCAGGGCGGAGTTCTGTCACCCCTACTGTGGTGTATCGTGGTGAACGAACTGCTCGTTAGGCTCAGCAGTATGGGTGTCTACGCGCAAGCCTATGCTGATGACGTAAGCATAGTGGTTAGGGGGCGTTTCTGTAGAACAGTCTCGGAAATTATGCAGGGCGCTCTGCGCTCCGTGGAATCGTGGTGTAGGGAAGTCGATCTTTCTGTTAATGCTGAAAAGACCGAGCTGATCCTATTCACTAGGAGAAGAAGGCTTGACGGACTGGTCATGCCGACCTTCTTTGGGACTAGATTAGTTTTGTCCCAGTCAGTGAAATATCTGGGAATTATCCTGGACTGCAAACTGAACTGGAGAGAGCATGTGGAACACAAGGTTAGCAAGGCTCGCAATTCGATGTGGGCTTGTAGACGTGTTGTCGGTGTAAGGTGGGGGCTTAAACCCAAAGTGGTATACTGGCTCTACACGACGATAGTACGTCCATCTCTCTTGTACGGCTCCCTGGTCTGGTGGCCTTGCATTAGAACTGAGTCAACTAAGGCCAAACTCAATAAAATTCAGCGTTTGGCCTGTATTAGCATTACAAGCGCAGTGCGAACAACGCCATTGAGTGCAATGGAAGCTCTGTTGGATCTCCCACCGTTGGGTCTGGTGATCCGCGGTGAAGCGAGAGTAGTCGCTCATCGACTGTGGAGTCAGGGCAGCTGGGCTTTCTTGAATCCGGTCAAGGGGCATACTGCCATATTAGTCGAATTAGAAAGGGAGGACCCCGTCCTTCTAAGCAGGGGTGATCGTATTACCCCTAAATATCGCTTCAACCGCAAGTTTATTGTGGAGTACCCAACGAGGGAGGAGTGGGACGTCGGTAGCCGAGGACTCTCCGAAGTGAGCGGGCAGGTCTGGTACACGGACGGCTCGGTCACCGAAGAGGGCTCAGGTGCTGGGGTCTCTGGACCTAGAACTAGGCTATCTCTGCCTCTCGGTGAGTACACCACCATTTTCCAGGCGGAAATCTTTGCGATTCTGGCTTGTGTATCTCACATTCTGGAGGAGGGTGGGCCTAGGAGAAGAATAACAATCTTATCCGACAGCCAGGCTGCAATGAAAGCACTAAGTGCATGTAAGATTACTTCGAGTCTTGTATTGCAATGCAGGGAGGCTCTGGATTGCCTCGCAGCGAGGCATCCGGTATCGTTAATATGGGTACCGGGGCACGCTGGGATAAGGGGCAATGAGACGGCGGACACTCTGGCGAAAACAGGATCAGCCAGCAAGCTCGTTGGTCCTGAGCCAGCTCTAGGAGTAACCGCGCATAAAGCTAGGAGGAAAATGGAGACGTGGGTTGCAAGACTAGGAGTAACCGCGCATAAAGCTAGGAGGAAAATGGAGACGTGGGTTGCAAGACAACACCCTCAGAAATGGAGAAGTATCTCTAGACATCTCCGCCAGGCACGAGAGCTCATTGAAGGGCCCAGTGCTAAGGATGGACGCTTCTGCCTATCTCTGGGTAGAGCCAACCTAAGGTTGCTGGTGGGACTGTTGTCTGGCCATAACACGTTAAGGCGGCACCTGCACTGATGGGGGTGGCTGAGGATCCCTTGTGCGAACGCTGCGGAGTAGAGGAAGAGACCTCGGCGCACGTTTTGTGTCGCTGTGAAGCTCTGAGCTACTATAGGCAGACTATACTGGGGTCCATTACTTTGGACCCTCAGGACGTAAAGGAGCTTGGACTCAAGGCGATTCTCAACTTCGCTAAAAGGGCGAGGCTTGTGATTTAAGTATTGTAGAGGTGCATAAGGGCCCGCTTAAGCGGCCTATGCACTGGCTCCTTATGGTGGCCGGGATGCCTCTAAAATTCAAGATTCATTCATTCATTCATTCATTCATTGACCATAATAGTCAGTTTTGGCCACAAATCATGGCAAAAATACGAAAATACTTAGCAATGACAATGATTGTAAAAACGATCACGTTCTAATTTTACTCTCGAAATACATGTACTAGTATTGTTAGAAGATATAACGTAACTGGTTCAGGTAATATTAAGCCACGATATGTGAAAAAAAGTAATATCACCAATGCCGACCGAAGAGCATTAAGAAGAATAATCGTGACGCTGTTGGAAGGAGAATTTCGAGGTCCACAACTCATAGAGAGGCCCACAAACTGGGATTTAGCACTTGCAAGGTAAATTTTCTTATAAAAAAAGTGAAGTAAAAACCTTAAAGTTTCACAACTTGTTTATAGGCCAAAAAAAGCCACTATTAACTCCACTGCAAAAGAAAAATCGGCTTAGATAGGCTAAAGAACATAGACAATGGACACCTCAACAATGATGTGCCTACAATGTAGTGATGATGCCCGATTCGAAGTTTGCGTTGGTGACAGTCGCAGTAGAGTTCTTCGCAACAAAAAGAAGCATTCCATGGTGACTGTCTGAAGAGAAAAAATAAATTTCCAGCATTCATTATGGTCTGGGGCAGTATGTCATCAAAAGGAATAGGAAAACTTCATTTTATTGTTGGAAATGTGGATACAAACAAATATTTGGCAATTTTAGAAGAATCGCTTTTACCAGTGATGGAAGAATGTTTGACATCCGGCCAAGATTTTGTGTTTCAGCAAGATGGTGCAGCGTGCCATACCTCAAAAAAGGCTATAAAATGGATGGAAGAAAATAATGTACCACTTTTGAAATGGGTTTCTAGCAGTCCAGATCTGTCACCTATTGAAACTTTGTGGGACGAGATGAAAAAGGTTCTACGACAACATCCTGCTCGTACAGTCACCGAACTGAGACAAAAGCTTCAAGAAATATGGGATTGTTTTACACCAAATTTTTGCCAAAACTTTTTTAACACTATGCCCCAAAGAATTTCAGCCGTAATTAAAAATAAAGGTGATGCTTCTCAATGGAATCTTTCAATTGTTGCTTTGTTAACTTCGCGCATTTATTCGCACATTGTTTATTTGTTCAGATGTTCTATTAGTTATAGGTCTAAGTGATTTCAAATATTTATTTTTTACGACTAGAGTGTATCTAAAATGTTTTTGAGAAAATAAATTGTTTTAGAAGTAAATAGTTTCGTCATGTTTAGTTTATAAAGGCATATTTTGGTACAAATCTTGAAGTGGGCTCACTGAAGTGGGAAGGGGCTCGTACATTCCTATATCATAATAATTATTCTTAAGTTATGCCTGTTATACAACATATAAAAGCTAAAGATGTAGGGATATTATACTTTGTTCTGGTAAAAAAACATCTAAAACTAGTTATTGGGTTGTATTTTTTAAAATTTAATTGTAATGTTTTTATATTTATAAAAAATCTGCGTATCTGTATTCTGAACATATGTACATATTTTTTCTTCCTACCGATTTTGTCCTTGAATCCTCCGAATTTCAACCAGACCAATTACCGATTTTTAGGTTATTTGCATTAAAATATAAAATGTAGCTTATCGGTTGTACAAATAAATATCACTGAAGGTATTTAGTATAACAAAAGTATAATTTGCCATGAAGTATCAAGTAGTTTGAAATTGCTTGACCTCGAGTCAAGTGTACAATAAAAAAGCTAAGTTAGGCATCAACATTTCAAGTAATTTTATTGATTTACTGAATCCCTAGGGACTTCCGTCTGTAGTGAAGCGATAGACAGCTTTGAAAACGAATATGAATTTCACAGCGCTATTTTCGCAAAAAAAGAGATTGTTTCCGGAAAATGCGAAAACATATTTTTATGGCAAACTCACCACTCTTTCCGACACCAGGCGCGCCAATAACGGCAACTTTCACTTCTGATTGGCATGATTTTTTCCTTCGAATACCTTTTCCGTTCATGGCAGTGGCACTCTCCCTGTTTTATTTTGTTGTCGAATTCCGTCTCGTGGAGAATCTTCAACTGAAATCCGCTGCCAAATTGTACTAAAGCCGAGCGCCAGACGAACGCTCGAAGCATCGCCATGGTTAAATTTAAATTTTGGTAAAGGCGGCCATACATGACGCTTAGAGTACCATCCGATATGCAACACAAATTTCTCACAAAAAGTGCAACATTTTTTGATTGGAAGGAAACACCACAAAGTGGCATCTATCACCAGGATCGACCACTGCGACAGCAGACAGCAGCGAATACGAATAGAAATATGTCTTTATTGCAACATTAACATACAGGGTGGCGCATCGAAAACGAAACAGACGTATTTACTGGCAGCTCAGTTTTTTTTTAAAAACGCCATACCCGTCGATTTTGTTTTCGAGGGGGACACAAGTTTGGAAAAAAATCACGTTAGCACGTGCAGCCCCCTAAGCGGGGGTGACACCACCCCCAAAATCTAAAATGGAAAGGGGGGTCGAGTGATACCTTGTTTTAAAGGTCTTTCAATTTCCTTTATAATGATGTAAAATTAATGTACTTCGGTTCAGTAGTTTTGAAGATTTATTGGTTTAAAGCTTAAAGTAGACTTTAATAGGTACATCAGATTAGTTTGTACATTATTACAATTATTACAACAGTAGCCGGAAAAGTCCAATGATACTGTTATGTAAAGTCTTTTTTTTATGCTTGACAATGTACGGAACGCGCTACCCTGTCTTCTTATTCCTTATCCTGATTATTCTTGAATAAATTGACAGTTGTTGCACCCACTGTTTCTTCACAATGATAGTGCTACGAGTATACCACACGATTTAAAATGAAATGTCCCCTTATCGACTTAGTTGTTCTCTCTTTTTATAATCTTTTGCTTTTCTCTCGGAGATGAAAACTCTGAATCGTATTGAATATTTGAATGGTACATGCCACTGATAATCCTGAATTTATTTAAAAAATGTTTAAATGATTTCAGTCGCAATTTTGGGCCCGGAAACATTCAGATTCATTAAATAAGATTATGCGAAAAGCTGAATCAGAATACCTTTCCAAGGACATGCGAAGATACTTCCTGCAATAAGAGAATACAACAAATTGGAAGCGTATGTAGCGCTATAGTCATCACTTATCAAATATAGGTAAAACGTGTCCCCACAGAATTTTTTTAGCAAATAACAAGTAATGGTATATCCTTGCTCGATGCGTTCGATAGGATATGGCATGCTGCACTCTTATGTAAATTTCCATACTAAGGACTCCTATAGAAGTTTTGTAGTTGGATGACGGGAGACAGCACTCTACATACAGGAATTCAGGGAGGCAATGCGATCTGTGCCAGTGGGCTGGAGAAAGGAAGACTAGCAGCGACCTACTGTATGAAGAGATACATTTTCAATATACTGAGTTAAATCCTCAACTGGTGAATAAGGTTCAGTGTTTTCCAATTTTATTTGCAAATCTGGAAATGTTTACAGCAAATGTTGATGACGGTATGGAGTGTTCATTGGTTCAAGAAACTGGAACGATTGCAGAACAAATATTGCTTCTATAGGTCTGCGTCTGGAAAAATAAAAACGGTATTGATTTCAGAATCACCTATACTCGTACTCTTGAGTTTTATCTATAGAAAACCCCTGTCCCACACAAGTTTGCGCAATGAAAGCTATAAGCCACTTAAACTCCAGCATAGGGTCACTATTGTATATAGGGATCCTCCTTTCTTAATTTAAAACAACTTCCATCATAGTGAATGGTGATGATATTATAACCTGTTTCTCTAAAATCAGACAAATAATTAGTTAAAACTTGTATATATATGTATAATAAGCTCACAATCAAAGAAAATGAAAAATATTAAATTTTGTTACGGCTATAAAATTTGGAACTTTTTATTTTGATTCGGAAACATCAAAAATCAATATCAAATTTTCTGATATCTAAGATTTGTCACAGCACAATTATAATGTACGTCATTCATTAAATCACGATTTGTTGTTTTAAATCCCAATTATTATCCAAATCACTTAAATCTAAATAAAATAATTCATTGAAATCAAATACTTTTACCTAAACTAATTAAACAAATTTGATAAATGAAATTAAATTGTTGTCCTTGGAGCATTTTGATTGGTCATTAATTTTAAGTAAACTGGTGTACTTAATATAAGTAAACGGTTTAATAAATTCAATTAAACGAATGCATTTTGGTTAGTTAGACTAGTTTCATAGATTCAAATGAACTGTTTTAAAAATCGTAGTTAAACTTATTCACTATCACACAGTTAGTTGAATTTTTTAAATGGCTTGTTAAACATTCTTATTGGTTTAATTAATTTTTTCTCAATGTAAGACTGTCGGGCTCTTTGAGTACATTTGCTCCCAAAGTACCTGAAATCGAAAAATCATCACACCAACACCGATTTTTTGATACTGTTGATGAAATGAAAATTAATCTTTCCTTAAATTTTTTGAGATGTGAAGAATAATTCTTGGCAATACTCACTGTCCTGAACATCAGAACTCCTCATAGGCATCCGTCTTGACCGATTTTTTGATACTGTTGATGAAATGAAAATTAATCTTTCCTTAAATTTTTTGAGATGTAAACAATAATTCCTGGCAATACTCACTGTCCTGAACATCAGAACTCTTCATAAGCATCCGTCTTGACTTATACTGCCTTGATATAGCTTGCTTGGATAGCTGATATTGTGAATCCAAAAATGCGCTACTATTACTGTACCCCTGAAGCATATTGTATTTTTCATAGTGCTCCTTTTCTGGATACAAAAATGTGCTGGACTTATAGAAAGTGTGCCCTTTATCCAGCGGATTCTCTAGAAATCAATCAATAATTTTATTGTCTGTGCTTACTTTATGAACTTGTCTTTGTAGATTGCAAATGAAGGTCTTCTCATGCAACATATGTAGAGAACAATACTTTGTAGCAATATGAGGCTATGCAGCATATGTCCCAAAAGTCGCGGACCAAATAGAAGAGGGTCATTTCTAATGAAAAATCGTATTAGCCCTTATCCGATTATGCATGGCTTTTCAGTTATCGTTACTCTAAAGAATTTGTAGGTGGCTACTTATTTGAAATTGTAATATATACTTCTGAAATTGTCTTTCGTTATTTATTATAGAGTACCACATGTCTCTGTTTCAGGGACACTACTATTCACATCATACACCTCAAATTTAAGTTGCTCAAAATTGTAAAATAATGACTTAACGCCGATGATACCCAAATGTATAATTTCACCCAAATAGCTATAAAAACGCTACCTCACTTATATGAACAAGAATCTAGAAGTAATCTAGAATTATGCAAAGGACAATGCTCTCAACTTGAACACTGAAAAAGACCTAAATGACTTTATTCCCTTTCGGTGAAAAATTTAGGTTATAGATGATCACACATCAGGCCATATCATTTCTATGAAGTGGATAATTGCTAAAGACTTATTCCAATATACTAAGTGACATATAAATCCGAACACCCAGTTTAAATGGTTTTATTTTAATAAAATTTTGTATAAGTACTTAACGAAGCATAATAAGTAAATGATAAAAATTTCAAAATGATTGCACTGCTTTAAAGCCCTTTGACCTTTAATAATGTGTGGATGCACCCTGATGTGCTACGCATTCTCCAACGCGCCTAGGCATGCTTCTGATCAGGTGGTCAATGTCCTCCTGTGGTATCTCATTCCAGGCAACCACCAACTCCGCTCGAAGTGCTTGTAGAGTCTGAGGAGGACGTTGCAAATTGAGAAATCTCCTACCCATCATATCCCACACGTGCTCAATTGGGGATAAGTCGGGAGATCTTGGTGGCCATGGTAACAATGTGACATCATTATGTTGAAAGAAGTCTATTGTGACTCTTGCAACATGTGGTCGGGCATTATCTTGTTGGAAAGTTGGATCTGCCAGGGTGTCAAGATAGGGTAAAAGATGGGGTTCTAGAACTTCGTGGATATAACGCTGCGCGTTCATGTTACCTCTGATGAAAATTGAAGGTGACCTGGAACCATAAGCTATAGCACCCCAAACCATAACTCCAACAGTGTGATGAACATGTCTTTCAACAAAAAACTGTGGATTCCTCCTTTCACCACGTCGCCTTCTAACCCTGGCACGACCATCGTGCATGCCTAAACAAAATCGAGACTCGTCACTAAAGACAATACTGTTCCATTCCTGATCCCAGAGTGACCGTTGTCTGCACCACTCAAGGCGATTACGTCGGTGTAAGGGTTAGAAGGCGACGTGGTGAAAGGACGAATCCACAGTTTTTTGTTGAAAGACTGTTGGAGTTATGGTTTGGGGTGCTATAGCTTATGGTTCCAGGTCACCTTTAATCTTCATCAGGGGTAACATGAACGCGCAGCGTTATATCCACGAAGTTCTAGAACCCCATCTTTTACCCTAACTTGACACCCTGGCAGATCCAGCTTTCCAACAAGATAATGCCCGACCACATGTTGCAAGAGTCACAATAGACTTCTTTCAACATAATGATGTCACATTGTTACCATGGCCACCAAGATCTCCCGACTTATCCCCAATTGAGCACGTGTGGGATATGATGGGTAGGAGATTGCTCAATTTGCAACGTCCTCCTCAGACTCTAGAAGCACTTCGAGAGGAGTTGGTGGTTGCCTGGAATGAGATACCACAGGAGGACATTGACCACCTGATCAGAAGCATGCCTAGGCGCGTTGGAGAATGCGTAGCACATCAGGATGCATCCACACATTATTAAAGGTCAAAGGGCTTTAAAGCAGTGCAATCATTTTGAAATTTTTATCATTTACTTATTATGCTTCATTAAGTACATATACAAAATTTTATTAAAATAAAACCATTTAAACTGGGTGTTCGGATTTATATGTTACTTAGTATATTTATTGCTTACAATCTTACATAAAACGATGCTCAGTAAGAAACATTTGCACTGGTAAAGAAAATTCATTCCTCGTCATAATAGAATTCACCTCAAGAGGATTATTCGTTTTCCAGATACAAACACACATATTAAATATTCATAAGATCATTCACATTTAATGCAATCTCCTTATACAATTATCTACTTAACGACCTGAAAAATATGACTCTGAAGAAGTTTAAACTGAATTTGAAGTTGCATCTTCTCCATTTGTAATTCTAATGGTTTCTAGTATTGAACTTGAAAGATGTTTTATGTAAAATTTTAAATTATTATATTTATTATTGTAAAAAATCAATATTTGGACAGATATCTAAACGTTCCAATTTTTCGTAATTTAACAAGTATATATATATATATATAACATTTAGTAACAATATCACATACTATTGTATGTAATTTAAAATCATTTTGCACCATAGTTGCTATTTCCTCATAATGTTATTGCAGCTCCTGATGATGATGGCAGGCCATTGAAAGCTAGAGACTAATAAAGTATAAAGAGTCCTCATTGCTTGAATTTGGCAAAGTGCCCAACTAAAAGCGGAAGCTTCATTTTTCACTTAACTGGTGTAGACGACAATGACCACGTCTCAAGTTATATATATATATACAGGAAGTTGAGTCATTTATTTTAACAGTGAGTAGATCTGATCAAAAGAAATGTTTTTTTCCTTTTACATTTTTGTGGTAAAATTAAAGTAACAAAGTTATAGCCCTATAGAAGTTTGAGTACCGCCCTGTCTCAATAATAATATTATGTGCTCGTGTTTGGCGACAACGGATATACTCCGCCTTATCGGTTCATCGCATCGGAAACAAAAAAGCGAAAGAATTTGAAACGCTGATCACGATGACTTAAGACCTCACAGGGGACTGAATGCCGGTGCTCCAAGACCTCACGATCAAACACAGGTCTGCACTGAAATACTTGTCGGGAGGATACTTTATAAAACAAGGTAAAAATTTTGTTTTTATTTTTACACACATATTTTGGTTTATCTTCCTTCTACAATCATTATCTGAAAATTAATGACTCAACTTCAAAGTTTATCATCATAGGTTGGTAAATTTTACCAAACAATTGGAAATTTGCTTCCATTTAAAAAAAAAGCGGATTTAAGACCAACCCTTACAACTACAGGCCTATAGCTCTGCTTTTTGTTATAAGTAAGGTGATGGAGTGGTGCCTAAATTGGGAGATTCTCAGTACATCGGCTTGATTAGCGACAGAGCGTGTGCTTCTGTTTCTTTCTGGAATAAATTGCCTGTGCTATAAATGAAGCCTTCTCGATTTTGTGGCATTTCACGACCTTCGATAAAAAACCGTAGACAGCCACTGTAAGCCGTAAACTATTCTTCCTGGACTAATATGCAATAATCGTAGGGCAAAACAGGGAAGTGCCCTACAGCCCAGATCTTAAAGTAGTTCCTTATTTACTCATCAATAATAATGTGATACAAGTTTGTAGGCAAGTGACCTAAAAAATGTTTGCCGCGGACCTCGCGGGTTCAAATAGTCATCAAATGAGGGATGTTGAATCAACCACCGCGATTAAAACGTGTGATCCATTTTTGAGACGATGTTGGGGAGAAAAATATTGGGTCAAGTTCAAACATGGATCGACCATGTCCTCAATTCGGTATTATTCAATGTGGAAACCTGGTAAAGTTATTTCTCGATCTGTCCCAAATACTTTCGACGCGGCTTGTTCCTTATCTCCGAAACCTGCTGTTTTCAATCTGTCAGCATCTTTCGCTCCTCCACTAGCTCGAATCGTGGCCCTGATAGATTTTAATATAGACTTGGGAGTGTTTCGGACCGTTTCAACGATTTTAGACCACGTATCTTGTTCGCTGTCCCTATCTCCTCGTTCGTTCATGTTTCACTGGAATTTCTGGATGGTTTTGCAATGGATTGTGTTCCAACAGGTGACGCGAGATTGATTTGAAGAATTTCTGATTGACGTATGTTGACGTATGAGCCAGGTGCGAGGTATGAGTAGGCTTTACTCCTATGGTCTACACTTCTAGCCCAATATTTTTATCTACTAGCTTTTTAAGGGTGTCTCAGTAACAGATTTGGGTCAAATTCAGAAATCGGCACGGGTATTATGTAAAAAACCTATAAAACGTAAAAAAATTTAAAGATGTCATTCTGCAGACTAGGTAGTTTTTAGGGCGCAAACAGTCATTCCACTTTTGCTCACTAGGATCGTGGTGAACGTCCATCTATGGAGGAATCACTCAACTAAACTACACGCATTGTTGCAAGAAAAAGTGGATGTGCAACTAATCATCCAGATGCGATCTTGCTACTCGGCTTCACAAAACGTATGCAACCAACAATGCGTGTAGTTGAGACATTCCTCCATAGATGGACGCTCACAACGACCCTAGTAAGCAAATGTGGAATGACTGTTTGCACCCCAAAAAATTACTTGGTCTGCAAGATGACATTTTATAGTTTTTTTACGTTTTATAGGTTTTTAATTTAACACCCGTGTTGGTTCGGAACTAAAGTGTATCTAACGAAGCTACAAAGTAATCGTAAACAGTGGTTGATTCGTGATCAACGCGTGATCGGTAGCCATGGCGCTCTGTCGGCCTCTTCCTGATTGGCTTGTAGCGACGAGCCTCCAGACAAAGTCGCACGGGCCACGCTCAGCAAGTTTTCGCCAGAGTGGTTGATCACATTCGCATGGATCACAAATCAATCTGTTGGTGCAATACGTGCAATAACTGTTGTAAAGGACATTATATAACAATAAATGGCATCACAAAGGTATATTCCAATTTGATCTGCAGCAAATTATGAACGGCATATACGGAGATGCGAAAACAAGCTCAAAAAGGTGAAGAAAATTTTTGTGCAATCTTTATAGTTAAATTTTTCCTAAGAGATAGCATCAGTGAGGGAATTTTTTTCTATTGTCTTATTTTTCACATTAATGCGATGTCGAGGTATGTGGCCCTATCGCAATTGAAAATAAGGTTTCGATAATCCTTCCATAAAGTTTCGATGAGTACATCTGAAATAACCTTGAGATATTCTTCAGGGAAATACAAAAATCTCCTTTTGTGTTTTTTTGTGCAGATTTGTCTATTAAAATCCTATCCGCAATCTATTTTCCGTGCACACACCTTCAACCGAATGTATGCCATATATGATATTACCGTTTCCAACTTTCACCAAGGTTAATAGGAACCATAACAGCTCCCTGCCCTTCCCCCCTATAAGAATATCGATTTGTAGCCTCACATTTCAAGGTTACACTTCTTGTAATGATTCTGTTCAACATTCGGCGATTTCTGACAATTTTCCCAATAAAACATGATCATTGTGACATTAAGCCTGGCAACGCTGCATAGTAGAGGGAACTCTCAGCGTCACGTTGATGGTTCGTCACCACGCACAGGATTGTAATCAGTTACGGATACCCGTTTATGAGCGCGAACGTTTTATGCACGTCTTGACTTGATTTTTCTTGCGGAAATTTAATATTAGTCTAAAATGTCTGACACAGATACAGCTGATGAAGTGGTTGAAATCAGCTTAACGTCACCCAGAAAAAGGGCTAAAAAGCTTAATCTTAGCGCAGGTGAAAAACAAATTATTCTAAATATCTACAAGAACCAGATGCAAGAGAATAGTGGATTGGCTATAGAAAATATCGTATGTACGGTTGCTGAAATTTCTGGAGTAGGTCGATCAAGTGTTTACAAAATCTTGAAGGAATATAGACAAAATCACTCACTATCTGAGCCAAAAACATATCCAGCGAGAAAAAAAATCATCGAAAAAATAGATGACTTTGACAAAAGTGCCATTAGAAGAAAAGTACATCACTTTTTCTTCAGGAATGAAATACCTACAATAGATAAAATATTGAAGCAAGTGAATGATGATGAGGACCTGCCAAATTTTAAAAGATCTACGTTCCATAAGCTGTTGAAAGAACTAGACTTTCGATTTTTGAAAAGAGGAAGGAATAGTTTATTGATAGAAAAGGAGGAAATTGTTATCTGGAGGAGAGAATACCTTAGAAAAATTAGGCAATTCCGCGCTGAAGGAAGAAAAATTTATTATTTAGACGAAACATGGGTGAACGCGGGGCATACGCAGGGAAAGGTTTGGGTAGACAGATCTGTGAGGTCCTCAAGGCAGGCTTTTTTAGATGGCCTTTCGACGGGATTGAAAAATCCTGCAGGTAAGTTTCGAAGTATATGAACTTTTTTGGATGCAGATAATTCATTTTCTGATCGAATCAATGATTTGGAAGCTCCGAACTCAGTTTTGCTATCTCATCCAAGTTTCTGAGTATTTCCTTCACCCAAAAACTAATCTAAGACCCTATCCTACACTAACCTAAAAAGAGTAAGTTGCTTAATTTCGTCATTTAGTGCGCTCGCTGAGAAGTAAAATAACTAATTACTTTCAGGCAAGGGAAAACGCCTGATCATTTGCCACATAGGTAGCGTAGATGGATTTGTTCCTGAAGCATTGTGGGCATTTGAATCCAAAAAAACTGGAGACTATCACGAAGAAATGGATGGTAACTCATTTGAAAATTGGTTCAAAAAAATTTTGCCGACACTTGATGATAACGCAATTATTGTGATGGATAATGCCCCGTACCACTCCAGAAAATTGGAAAAAATTCCAACAATGGCCACCAAAGAGGCAGACATTCAACAGTGGCTTGTCTCAAAGAAGATCGACTTCGACCAAACGATGGTCAAAGCTGAGCTGATAAATATAGTCAAGCGACATAAGTATAAATATGATTTAAAAATTGTTGACGAAATGGCCAAAAACCAAAATAAAACGATTCTCAGAGTGCCTCCCTATCACTGCGAACTGAATCCTATCGAGTTGATTTGGGCCGACATCAAGCAATACGTGGCGTCAAATAACAGCACTTTTAAGTTTTCTGACCTTAAAAAACTGTTTGATGTTGCTGTCGATAGAATTACGCCAGCAAAATGGAGAACATGTATTGACCATGTCCAAGAGAAGGTTGAAACCAAAATGTGGGATATGGACAATATCATTGACACCCAAGTTGAACCCCTTATAATTGACATCAACAATTCTGATGATTCAAGCTCCTCGGAATACAGCATATAAATCGATTGATACCATTAAGACTGGCAGTTTAACGGGCTTTTTGGCAAGACAGGTAAGTTCATTATAGACTGCAATCAAAGTGTAAGTTTCTAGTTATTAATGTGGAAATTCCAAATTTATAATTACACAAAATTAAGGTTAATTTAGGAGTTAAAAAGCATAATAGTGCCATTTTGACCTTCTTCCTATTTCTCATGTAAATTTTAATAGCAATCAAACTAACAAACTTTATGGAGTCTGTAATAAACTTTTGTACTACTACTACTACGTCTGTAGTTTCTATTTGCTCAAAAAAATTTGCTCTGCATTGTGAATAGAAGGTTGATTTGTAAATATTATTGGGTATATATGTAAGTTAATAATAAAATATGAACAATTTCAATTGAGATGGTACACAAGTTTTTCCTAATGTCGAAATATGATTAGAAAGGCGTGGTATATTCCTGATAATTTACTATGCTTTTGATAGAATTTACAACAACACATATCTTGTACGACATTTTTTGACAGATCAGTCACAATAGATTGATACGGCCCTGTAGCGTCTCCTACGGTTAAGTTCTTGATCACGTGCAATACGGGTGTATATGTTTGATTTTACTTTGTTTCTTCGATGGATACAGTTTAGTATGAAATTTGTTGGAACAGTTACGGTATCAGTTCCATTTTCTGTTGGAACAGTTAACTTAATCTGCGCATGCTCTATTCAGTTGAGAACTAGTTCGATGCTCTGCTGGAACAAAGCTCTGAGTTACTCCAACCGCACGTTTTGTTTCAAAAAGAAAACAGCTTTTCAATCGTTGCATGTTTTTTATTTATTTTTCTGATACACATAATACATGTTACTTGTAAGACATTTACAATAAAGTAGGGTTATGATCTCGTGCTGTGGTCCTTTATATTATTTTACATTTACAACATGTCTTTAAAACATACATTTACGTATAATACATAAAAGAAAAACATGCAAAGCAGTAGTACGGATGTACTCTACTTCAAACGCTTAATAGTACAGTCACTTTTATAATACGCAGAGGCGAAAGTTCAACAGATATAGTACGGTGAAATTATGCACTGGTTTAAGAAATGGAGCAGCAAGAGTGATGTGAAAAAGTGCTTTAAACAATAATGTATCAATAACAGTAATAATAAACTTGTATCGCAGATAACTCGGTGCAGCAGCTAAAGTGAGATCACAAGCTAAACTCACTTTCTAACTACCTACATAACCTAACAAAATATATTACACGTCATAATTTAACAACTTCATACACACACACTTAGACAAGAGAATTCTCTAGACTCACTGTCTGTCACAATTTTATAGATACGTTTGTAGGAAGAAGGCATTTTTATATACATAATACTATCGTTAATGCTAGATATAATATATCTATTTTCATCATCTTGTGGCACCTCATTCACGATTTTTATCATTATACACAGAATCTACACTCGAAAAGTCGCTCGAAGTAACAAATATGTAAGGGCAATCCAAAAATAGAGCTACTAATTCAAATCCATAGATATTTGAAAATCAAAATTATGTGAAATTAAAGTTAAATTCAGCTTCTTCAGTGTCTGTTTGACCGAAGACCAGGCTTTTTGCAATCGATATTATAGTGCTTTTGAAAATTTCTGGGGTTCAACGAAAACCGGATGGATTTGGCAACATTGTAAGCTAAAAGCAATGTTGCCAAGTCGTGTTCTATCACAAGGATTGCTACTTTAGCATGAATAAAGTGCGTCTACCTGAACGTTTTGTCGCATTTTTCCTACAAACTCACAACATCGACCTAAGCATAGGTCGTGGCAAACGATTCAAAGTATGATCTATCCTTGGTGGAGCTCCTTAGACAGGACACGCTTTCATTTTGTTGATAGCGTTCGTCAAGTGGAGGATTTCGGTGCTGAGTTGGTGGATAAGTGAGTCTAGTTTCTCCACTGAATCTAATACTTCTACTCTGCCTGTGTGCGGGTTGAACCTCACTTCGAATGGTCGGGACATTTGGCAGACCTGTAATTTGAAAATTAGGATTGTTAAAAAATTATTAGTCATCTATATATATATATATATATATATATATATATATATATATATATATATATATATATATATATAGGTGAAAAATTAAAGCTTCCGCCTTTTGTTGGGTACTTCGACAAAATTTAAGCAAAGAGGACTCTTTATACTTTTTTTAATTCTCTCTAGCTTTCAATGGACTTTGCCATCATCATCAGGAGCTGCAATTACAATGATAACAGTAGCAACAAAAGTGTAAAATGAATTTAAATTGACTCAACTTACAGTAGTATGTGAGGATGTTGCTAATTGTTGTTTACGTATAGGATGAGAGAAACGTCCAGTAACATGGTGAGAGCTGGATAGATTGTACAATGGTCAAAATTATATAAAATATGACAAGAACAAGTTAAAAACAGATTAAAAATTATTTAAAAAACATTAGAGCATTACATCGTGAAGCCACTTGATGATTGCACAAATTAGTGGTCATGGAATAATGAGTGAGATGAAACCCTTTGACAGAAGGCCGAAGGATGTCAATGTCTGTGTTGAAAGATGGAACGAATTGTGGGCGTGTGCCAAACGTTGCCAAATCACTTCAGATGATGTGATTTTCAGAATTTTATGTAAGAATTTGTTAAACCGACCAGAGGCAGTTGAATAAATTAAATTTTAATTAATGGGAATTTAAATTAACAATTATTAATAAATCGTGAGAAGAGAATTATTATATTTTGAGTGGAATGAAATTTACTGGTGGAATCGGTCAAAACGCAGATTCTAATTATGGTTGTGAAGAGTCGAAATTTGGGGAGATATGTAAGTTCTCCAATTTTTCGCAGTTTAGCAAATATGAGTAAATGACACTCAGTTGTTTAACATCTGTCTTTCTGTTGATACAGTTGTTATTCATGAAGATGTGGGACATTTCCAGGAATAAACGTTTGGAAAGGTGTTTTTCTTTATCAAGAACTTTGATACTTGTGTAATTCATAGAATGCCCTGTTGTGTTAACATGAGATGCTAGAGCGCATCTTTCAGGATGAAGCCTAGCATCACTTTTGTGTGATGTAATCCTTCCTTTAAGAGATCTGGAGGTCTGACCTATGTATATTTGGTTGCAGTTGTTGCAATTGATGGAGTAGACTGTGTTGGTTAAGCCAAGCAGCGGGACTTTGTCTTTCATTTTTGAAAAAATTCAGTTTATAGTGAGGACGGATTTGCAAGCAATTCGAAAGTTCAAAGGACTGCACAATCTGATCAGCTTAGGGGTCAGTTCCTTGATATAGGGCAGGACAGCAAAACCAGGTCTGGAGTCCGGATTGGTGCTTGTACTGTTAGGATTGATGTTATTATTGGGAATTACATCAGTTCCGTTATTAGGGGTTGTGCGACTATTACCTGCATCACCAGAGTTCGGCAAAATATTGGAAGGTGAACTAAATAAGATCATCATAAGATCATTGTAATTGCAGCTCCTGATGATGGCAAAGTCCATTGAAAGCTAGAGAGAATTAAAAAAAGTATAAAGAGTCCTCTTTGCTTAAATTTTGTCGAAGTACCCAACAAAAGGCGGAAGCTTTAATTTTTCACCTAACTGGTCTAGACGACAATGACCACGTCTCAAGTTATATATATATATATATATATATATATAATTGCCTAATTGTGTCTATACATGTTTAAATTTAAAGTCTTTAATATAAACTCATAATGTCCATATGACCTAACTCGACAAATCGTGTAGTCAGTCTTATTCTAGCCGAGTTTCTGAAAATTGATCTCATTGCTATCAGGTAGACGAGGTAGATAGAAGAAGCATTGATTTTATTTTTTTCTTGATATTCGTTAGACTGTAATTGTGATACTCAGTTCGTAGATTGTTGTAATGCTTGGCCGCAGTATATGGAAAGATCTTCCTGTATAATAGTGTGAAGTGGTGGGGTATAACAAGAGATTGACTGTTTCTTGTTGCTAAGTTGTTAACGTCTTCAGATTTTTCTAGAGTATTGAGAAAGTACTCTAGATTTTATTCAATAAGGTCTTATAGACTAAAGATAGTGTATGACACCAAGACAATAACGGAAGCAAGAATTTTGACTCGGTTGTTTGCTAGTTACAATTAGCAAAGGAACGTTTTTGATGTCTCCACGTTAAATTATGCGCAGTCGGTATGTGATACATTTTTGATCAAATCAAAGGACAAAATTGCAATATCGATATGAAAACCATAATAAGATTGTATGTTGTCTGCCTAGTGATGAACGTTGCAGTACTTTTTCATTGTTAGAAAAGTCTGAAATATACAGAGAAAATAACAAAGAACTAAGAATGGAGCCTTGAGGTACTCCCATTGTTATGGAGGATAGAATATCATGGTCTAAGGTATCGAAAGCATTGCTGTAATGAAGTAACTCTAAACATACAATTTTGCTATTGTCGATCAAATACATTATACACGCTAAAAATGTAGTATAAGATTTGCTTAAGCCGGATTGAATTTGTGGTAAAATAGATTTATTTGTAACATACTCCTAAATTTGTTGTTCCATTATTTTTTCTAGGACTTCCGATAATATTTGTAAAATACTGATTGACCTTAAGCCAGAGAATTGATTCGGACTAAAAATTTTAGATATAGGCATTATTTAAGGTATCCGGAAATACACACCAAGAAAGGCAGCAACTGATTATACAGGGTGTTTCAGTTTATTGTTGCATAACTTTGAGATTCGATAGAACTTTTAAAATTAATGCATAAAGTCTATATAAACATGGGTCGAAAAATGCGTGGCTTCCGAAATACAGGGTGTTTAAATTTACTTTCTAAAATAGTTTTTTTTAAATATTTCGAACAATATTTGATCTATAACAGTGAAAATTGGTATACAAGGGTTTTTTGGTACGGCAAAACGAACCATCGGCATAGTTTTACTGTAGCCGCTAGAGGGCGCTCTCTACTGTACCTGTAGTGTATTAAAATGACTGAAAATTTTTTCTTAGTGCAATTTTTTGCTTTTTGAATGAAAAAACTGATTCTTCGCACTTTTCTGCATAAAAAAGCTCTCTTGTGAGTTTTCGTTATAGTTAGCCGTTTTTAAGATATTTCAATTTTTAAGGTTCGATGCATTTTTAATTATTTGTGATAAAATAACGTTAAAAAGTCAGTATCTCGATAATTTTTAGAAGTAGGCTGTGCGTGCAAATATTTTTGAAATTGAAAGCAGAATAAGGTTAAACGTCAATTAGTTGACAGTTAGTTTTGTTGTCTGTTGAAACCTGAAGCGTTTTTTTGCAATTGTGAATGCACGAAATTTAGTTTCTTTTACCTGTTTTTTTTTTGTAAGTCTTATAAAAATGCTATTTTTATTCTCCAATCAAGAGTTAGCGGATATTCATTTTGTGTATGGCTTTGTAAATGGAAACGCAGCAGAAGCAGCCAGAGAATACGCACGAAGATTTCCAAACAGACGACATCCAACTCGCTCAGTATTTGTAAGAGTGCATCGCCAAATAATTGAAAATGGTTTTGGAAATCTCCAAAGGGATCAAAACATAAATGTTAGGAGAGTATGTTAGGAGAGTTTCTGGTGCCTTGGGAATTTCAGCAAGCCATGTTCACCGTGTTCTTAGAAATGACCATAGACGTCCTTACCATTTGCAACCTGTGCAAGGACTACAGCCAGGGGACGGAGAACGAAGAATCACATTTTGTCAGTGGATTCTTGATAGAACTGATAATAATAGGGAGTTTCTAAGTAACGTTTTATGGACCGATGAGTCATGCTTCACTAGACGTGGAGTGGTAAATTTTTATAATCAACATATTTGGTCGCATGAAAATTCGCATGCAGTTCGGGAAAGAAATTTTCAGCATGAATTTAGTTTGAACGTGTGGATTGGTATCTACCGTAATCGACTATTTGGACCCTACCTTTTGCCTGCAAGGTTAATTGCTGCGACCTTCTTGGAATTTTTAAAGGCTGAACATGCAAATATGTGGGATGATGTTATGTTAGATTTAAGAAGATTGGCCTGGTTCCAGCTTGATGGTTGTCCAGCTCATTATTCGAGAATAGTTAGAAACTGGCTGGACGAAAATTATCCAGAAAGATGGATCGGCCGTGGAGGACCAGTCGCCTGGCCTCCACGATCCCCTGACCTAAATTCATTATATTTCTTTGTGTGGGGATTTCTAAAAGAAAAAGTGCACCAGACTCCCGTAACCACAAGAGATATGCTAATAGACAGAATCAGGAATGCATGTGATGAAATAAGGCCTTATTTGAATAATGCTATACCACGTTCGATCATTCGTAGATGTGAATTGTGTATTGAACAATTGGGTTTACATTTCGAGCAACTACTTTAGATTTTGTAAGTTTGTCCTAACTATTCAATAGCATTTTAGTTGTAAATAATTAATTTAATTTGTTAAAAATAATATTGGAAAATTAAACAAATTAAGATTCTGTTTTGTTGTGTTTATTTGGAGTTAGGAATTATTGCTGTGTTTAAAAACACAATCTAAACGATCATCTTAATTACTTGTAATGCCTAAATCGAAAATGTAAAAAAAAATATTATTTTCCCATAAATAAGTAATTAAAAATGCATCGAACCTTAAAAATCGAAATATCTCAAAAACGGCTAACTATAACGAAAACTCACAGGAGAGCTTTTTTATGCAGAAAAGTGCGAAGAATCAGTTTTTTTATTCAAAAAGCAAAAAATTGCACTAAGAAAAATTTTTCGGTCATTTTAATACACTACAGGTGCAGTAGAGAGCGCCCTCTAGCGGCTACAGTAACTCTATGCCCATGGTTCGTTTTGTCGTACCAAAAAACCCTTGTATACCAATTTTCACTATTATACATCAAATATTGATCGAAATATTTAAAAAAAACTATTTTAGAAAGCAAATTTAAACACCCTGTATCGGAGGCCACGCATTTTTCGACCCATGTTTATATAGACTTTATGCATTAATTTTAAAAGTTCTATCGAGTCTTAAAGTTATGCAACAATAAACTGAAACACCCTGTATATGTGATATGATTTAGTAAGCGGTTCTCTAATAAAAGTATATAACTGAAGTACAAATTTCTAAAAACAAGCTGTTATTCACAAGTTAATATAGTCAACGTTTAAAAACAACTTTTTCCGATTGAAAATATTCAAAAAATAATGAAGCTACTTTATCTCAAATTCTCAAATAAAAGCTTGTCACGTTTTGACAGTAGGATAGAAAAGGATGAACCGTGCTTTTATTTGAAAACTTGAGATGAAGGAATGGATATTTCCAATCGAAAAAAGTGTTTTTAAATTTTTAGCTCACTTCATTAACAGTTAAATAAAAGCTTTTCATTTTGTTTATTTTTTACTTTTTAGTATTTATGATATCGAATATCTAGTTTAGTAATTTATATAATTTCCATATGTTTCATTAACCAGAATCGATAAAACTTCTTACTTTATTTGTATCATGAAATTTCGATGGATATAAATCATACAAGGGTAAACCGACACCTTGGGGAGTTCGCCATATGCAATTTAGAATGACGTTATTTGCTTATTGTGCTTCTTCCGTCTCAAGCCCTTCCATTTAATCCTTGAATCTTTTTTACTTCTATTTATTATTTGTTTATTGCCTATGTACGTTGCCTTGTTCTCATATATTATATGGACTGTTGTACTTACCCATCTCCTGAATTTGTCCTTCATGTCTTCGATGCTCTCTGCAACGAAGTACACTGGTTGGTATTCCTGGTCCTGGTAGGCCTGCAGGGCAGTGGACGCGGGATCGAAAGGACGGTGTTCTGGCTTTTCTGAAAGCGCGTGCAACAGCTCGCCGTACGCGCTGAGTAGACCTGCGCCATACGCTTTGGTTTCGCCAGCTTCCTTGCAGAGACCGAACTCTACAGTGAACCAGTAAATCTGAAAGTAAAACAAAAATCCTCATAACATGTCGGTGGTATCCTAGTACCGCTCTAAAGTGTTCAATATGGGTATAAAATTTACGTGAATTGCTTAAGGTGTGAAGCCACACGATATTCGTAAGGCAGTATTTATTGTTTAATGCCTTATGCTTTTCTTCATCCGTAGGATTTTGCCCATGAGTCACTCGTTATTATAAACGCTGATTTAAGATGTGCTTTCTAGTTAACTTCAGTTAACTTCAGTTAACTAGCTCAATAGGTCATGTTTGCTAAAAAAAATAGTTCTAGGAGCTAAAAAAGAAAACAAATAAGAACAATAGCAAGTTAGTTAATTTAGACGCACTTCAGCCGCTGACTTTTCATTAATTTCTCGAAGGAAACAACCGGTTTGGATCGTTAGTCACTGTTGTAATGCTTCACAGCGTTATACAGGGTGTCCCAGAAGTCGACGTCAAGCCGAAACCGGGTGATAGGCAAAGTCATAACAGCTATCAGAAAAATATTTAAAAAAAATTTATGTATGTGTTTTGAAAATTATAGCTCTTTGAAAAAGATATAGAAATTTCACACCCTACGGCAGTCTGTCAACTCCTGTTACTACAAATATTAACTTTTTTTGGATTTCATTTTTACAATGTAATGATGAATAATGCATCTTCAAACTGGTGTCTCAACCTTACTGCCAACTTTTCTCGTTCAGGAAAAATTGCCACTTATTTCCCAACCAAGTATTCCAAAGTAAAACTTTGCTCAACTTTAACTGGCTGTACTGGAAAAAAATGTACTACGAGAGTTTGGCAAGTAACCTTAAAAGTTGGCGCATTTAATAACGATTCCAAAATGGTATAACACTTAGAAGATTACTCGTTAACTTATGCACAATTTTTATTTGAAAAAAACTGATGAAAATTTTTCAAAATTTCCTAATTGAACAGCGATTATGAAAACGCACAAGGACCCTTAAGGATAACTGTTTGCACAACAGTGGGCGTCAAAATGCTGCTGATGATGATTTACCTTTACAGCAAATGCTCAAACTGTTTTCCTTCAGCCGCAATACACGCTCGACATCTTCTTAAAAAAGATCGGTTTATTAAACGAGCGAATCCACGGTTATTAACAAACTCAGCTGCTTCCAATAGTCTTTGCCGTAGCTCAGCTACATTTTGAATCGGCTTAAAATACACTTTTTCTTTTACAGTTCCCCATTAAAAAAATCTGAAGCATTCAAATCAGGTGATCGGGCTGGCCACGATATTGTACCAGACCGCCTTATCCATCTGCCTGGAAAGTTTTGATCGAGATACTCTCTCACTGAAACCACATGTCCCTGTAAATACTCAGTGGCACGTCCACCAATAAATTTTGTACATGATTTTTCAAAAAATCCAAATATACCTCAGCAGTCAAAGTCTCTGGGAACTCAAACGGACCGATTATTTTACCATTTAAAATTCCTGTCCAATGGTTTATATCTTGAAGCGATATTGAGATTTATCTTCTCTCAAATGTGGGTTTGCTACGTGCCACTCGTGTAAGTTATGTAGGTTCATGTACCCATCTTTCTTAAATGTGGTCTCCTCCGACCATAAAATTTTTTCAAAGAACTGTGGATTTTTCCTGTGTCTTTCTAACATTGTGCGACAAAAAGCAACTCGGGGCTCATAATCCCGGGGCAGGAGAGGTTGAACACGCTGTATGTGGTATGGATGAAGCACATCACTTACTTGCTATTGCACACTTTGATACCGATCAGTACTCCTTCATTTACTGCGCATCTTTACATGTTCGTGCTTGTTGATTTCGTACTGTTACTAATTTTGGATTCGTGAACAACATTTGCTTTCCTTAGACTATCTTTGATAGTGTGATTGTGCAGTGCCGCTATGTCCATGTACACCGTACAAGAATATGCTAACATGCACCTCATTTATGGCTAGTGCTGCAGCGAGACTGTGAGAGGTACCCGAATGCAGCTCGTCATCCAGATCATCGAGTGTTCACAAATATTCACCGCTTACTGTTCTCAGAGGGTCAACTACCAAACCAATCACACGGTGGAAGAAGATCTTTCCTTCCTTACGAAGACGTGGTGCTAGGAGCTGTCGAAGAAGACCCGAGTACTTCAGTGTGTGCAATAGAACTAAAAACAGGTGTGCCCAAAAGTACAGCCCATAAAATCTTGCAAAAAACGTGCTCCATCCATACCACGTACAGCGTGTTCAAGCTCTTCTGCCCCGGGATTATGAGCCCCGAGTTGCTTTTTGTCGCACAATGTTAGAAAGACACAGGGAAGATCCACGGTTCTTTGAAAAAATTTTATGGTCAGATGAGACCACATTTAAGAAAGATGGGTACATGAACCTGCATAACTTACACGAGTGGCACGTAGCAAACCCACATTTGATGAGAGAAGATAAATCTCAATATCGCTTCAAGATAAACCATTGGACAGGAGTTTTAAATGGTAAAATAATCGGTCCGTTTGAGTTCCCAGAGACTTTGACTGCTGAGGTTTATTTATTTTTTTTGCAAAATCATTTAGAAAATTTATTGGAGGACGTGCCTCTGAGTATTTACAGGGACATGTGGTTTCAGCATGATGGCTGCCCAGCGCACTATGCACTCTCAGTGAGAGAGTATCTCGATCAAAACTTTCCAGGCAGATGGATAGGGCGGTCTGGTACAATACCGTGGCCAGCCCGGTCACCAGATTTGAATCTGTTAGATTTTTTACTGGGGAACTGTAAAAGAAAAAGTGTATTTCAAGCCGATTCAAAATGTAGCTGAGCTACGGCAAAGACTATTGGAAGCAGCTGAGTTTGTTAATAACCGTGGATTCGTTCGTTTAATAACCCGACCTTTTTTAAGAAGATGTCGAGCGTGTATTGCGGCTGAAGGAAAACAGTTTGAGCATTTGCTGTAAAGGTAAATCATCATCAGCAGCATTTTGACGCCCACTGTTGTGCAAACAGTTATCCTTAAGGGTCCTTGTGCGTTTTCATAATCGCTGTTCAATTAGGAAATTTTGAAAAATTTTCATCAGTTTTTTTCAAATAAAAATTGTGCATAAGTTAACGAGTAATCTTCTAAGTGTTATACCATTTTGGAATCGTTATTAAATGCGCCAACTTTTAAGGTTACTTGCCAAACTCTCGTAGTACATTTTTTCCAGTACAGCCAGTTAAAGTTGAGCAAAGTTTTACTTTGGAATACTTGGTTGGGAAATAAGTGGCAATTTTTCCTGAACGAGAAAAGTTGGCAGTAAGGTTGAGACACCAGTTTGAAGATGCATTATTCATCATTACATTGTAAAAATAAAATCCAAAAAAAGTTAATATTTGTAGTAACAGGAGTTGACAGACTGCCGTAGGGTGTGAAATTTCTATATTTTTTTCAAAGACCTATAATTTTCAAAACACATACATAAAATTTTTTTAAATATTTATCTGATAGCTGTTATGACTTTGCCTATCACCCGGTTTCGGCTTGACGTCGACTTCTGGGACACCCTGTATGTGTAACTCTTTTCAAAAGACGAGGTATCTAGTGTCAGAAGACATGTTAAAGTATTAAATCTGATAATTCTAGAAACAAAACCTCTACGGGCGACAAATTTGGAAGAAAGATCGATTGAACCTTATGCGTAAAGATGTAAAGAATAACTTGCCGAACTACAACCAGTTGAGTTCTTTGATCTTATCTGAAACATGACTAAGCGTAGGCACACCAAAGTTAAACCTACAGCAGCTATTTTATATTTTTTAGAGCCTTTTTTTGTAGAGGTGGTCTAAACATAGATAAAAAAAAGCGTAAATGTCATTCGCATTCTCAAACTCCTCAAGTATCCATTGTGACCGGTGAGTTTTCCTCTTCATCGCACAATATCAACATAGGTGCTCCGCAAGGGTCGGTTTTAGGGCCAACGTTGTTCATATTACATAATTAATGAGCTTTCTAGTACGGTAAATTCATTCCACTGATTCGCGGGTGGAAACACTTTACAGCAAAGCTGAAAGCTGATATTGACAAGATCTATATTTTTTATAGTAGCCATTGTGAATGTTGAAAATTATCGGAAAATCGTTCTCGTCATGTTTCTTGCACCTACTTCGCACAACATACGATTTAATAATTATTAGTAATGCTAACCGTCGTATGGAACCAAATGGCTGCTAATATTGCAAAGCCGTTTGTAAATCGCAAAATAAATGCGTTTATGATGTCATGGTCAAAAGTAGCCGGTCGTACGTGACAAAATGATGTCGAGATGCACTTACCTGCTGCAGATACGCATATTATAAAATACACTTGCGTAATAGATAAGAAACTAGGCTTCTGCAGTTCGTGCCTGCAGTCACGCAAAATACGAGAGACAATCGATATTTGCAATGACATTAACCTTTACATAAGGTGATATCTTGCCCAATACCAGGAGCAAGCATACAATTTGTTTTGAACCAGAATTATTTAGTAGTTAGGTCACATTAAATTCCCATTTCTTCGAGAAAATATATAAAAGTGCGTAGGTTCCATACAGTCCTAGCGTTCCAGACCGAACGCAAAAAGCAGATCTTTTTATGGATAAGTGCTGGTTTTTCCTGGACAGATGTCACATAGCACTTTAATCAGAAAGCTCAGAATATATAACTTACTGAACAAACCTAATCGATTCGTGTTTAAGCAATAGAAAACAATTAGTAAAAATTGGAAATGAGACATCAGATGAAAAATATATTGAACACGGTGCACCCCAGGATTCAGTACTTGGGCCGATTTTATTTCTGATATACATCAATGATGGAAACTATATACCATTTGCTAATCATACTAGAACCTCTGTTAGATCTGAATATATTTCCCTGCGATTACACAGAAGACTGCCAAAAACTGGTTTGATGCGAATAAGCTGACCCTGAATGAAAACAGTACAGTAAATATAATATTTTCATTGAAAGATCTAGAATCACTACACACAGAACATACAAATTGTTTGGGAACACACATAGTCAAGAAATTGAAATGCGACATGAACAACTTAGAAGCTTATCGTATGAGTTGAATAGTGAAACATTGAAGTCAGTTTATTTGGCTCTATGCCACTCTTTGATATCATATGGTATCTTAGTTTTGGGTCAGGGAACTTGCGTCGACTATTCTCTTTATACTCGTAGATACGGGCGATTAGGGTATTGTATTCACTAAAGTACACTGATTATTGCAAATTTCCTATGTATACTATAAAGTTTTCTTACAGAGTGACGTGTGTAAATACTCTATGTACAATAAATAACACAAATAAAGTTCAAATTTTTTTAATAGAACTGTATACCTAACAACAGCATTGAAAAACGCAAAATATGAGAAATAAACATAACATCATGATGGACAGTGAAAATAAGCAACCGAAACTTTAACTTAGACCTTTATTTATTTCGTTTTTAGTTCTAAAAGTTCTTAGGAAGGATCTTTACTTACGCGTAGTAAATAGTAATTTTACGTTGTCATTTTAGTGCCAAAAGATTCTATTCAGGAAGCTCAGTACGCAAAAAAATTAACTTCATATTAATTAAATTATTTATTTACTACATATGTATTGGTTTGTCACTTTGGCAGGTAATGGTTGGCAAATTAGCCAAAAGTATGCACTAAAACTACATAATTTTAGCGACAAACAATGCAATGTAAGCATACAAAAATTTTACAAACTTATTTTTCAAGGTTGACGGTGCATATCCTGAGCAGGGTATATCTGAAAGTTTGTTATTGTATAGTTTTCAAATGCAGTCTTTAGAGATGAGAAGGAAGTGTTCGTCAACTATACTAAGTGACATATAAATCCGAACACCCAGTTTAAATGGTTTTATTTTAATAAAAGTTGGTGAATGTATTTATCTTGCTGTAAATAACAAGAGAAAGACATTTTCAGCCTTATAAGTTGGACATTCCGGTTTTTATACTGCTTTTTTTTAATTCACTAACGCTCTAAAAATGAATATTTCAGCCGCAGTAAAGAATCAACGTTAGCGGATTTTGGTTCTTGACATCCTTTACGATCGGTTACGATGCCTAGAGTACGGAGACCTGTACAATTTCGTCAACTTAGTGAGTTTGATAGGGGCCGTATAGTGGGACTTTCTTTTCGGGCAATTGCAGTTAGAGTGCAAAGACACTGTGGTTAGGTGTTGTCAGGCATGGCTTCGAGAATGCCGTACGCAAAGAGCAAGGGACACTGGACGCCGCCGTAGAACAACAGACCGTGAAGATCGCCGCCTAAGATTATTGGCCTTAAGGGACCGTTTCTCCACTACCAGGTCCATTGCAAATGAATGGTTTGCAGAACACGGAAGACCTATTGGCATGCGAAGTGTTTACCGACGAATGAGAAGTTTTGGCTTGTTTTCATACCGGCCACACTGGGTCCTCCCTTTAACTCGAGAACACCGACGTAATCGCCTTGAGTGGTGCAGACAACGGTCACTCTGGGATCAGGAATGGAACAGTATTGTCTTTAGTGACGAGTCTCGATTTTGTTTAGGCATGCACGATGGTCGTGCCAGGGTTAGAAGGCGACGTGGTGAAAGGAGTTATCCACAGTTTTTTGTTGAAAGACATGTTCATCACACTGTTGGAGTTATGGTTTGGGGTGCTATAGCTTATGGTTCCAGGTCACCTTTAATCTTCATCAGAGGTAACATGAACGCGCAGCGTTATATCCACGAAGTTCTAGAACCCCATCTTTTACCCTATCTTGACACCCTGGCAGATCCAACTTTCCAACAAGATAATGCCCGACCACATGTTTCAAGAGTCACAATAGATTTCTTTCAACATAATGATGTTGCATTGTTACCATGGCCACCAAGATCTCCCGACTTATCCCCAATTGAGCACGTGTGGGATATGATAGGTAGGAGATTGCTCTATTTGCAACGTCCTCCTCAGACTCTAGAAGCACTTCGAGAGGAGTTGGTGGTTGCCTGGAATGAGATACCACAGGAGGACATTGACCACCTGATCAGAAGCATGCCTATGCGCGTTGGAGAATGCGTACCACATCAGGGTGCATCCACACATTATTAAAGGTCAAAGGGCTTTAAAGCAGTGCAATCATTTTGACATTTTTATCATTTACTTATTATGCTTCATTAAGTACTTATACAAAATTATATTAAAATAAAACCATTTAAACTGGGTGTTCGGATTTATATGTCACTTAGTATATGTATTGGTTTGTGACTTTGGCAGATAATGGTTTACAAATTAGGCAAACGTATCCATTAAAACTACTTAATTTTAGCGACATACAATGCAATGTAAGCATACAAAAAGTTTCCCAAACTTATGTAATGTGCGAAACCTTTAATGCCATATCTACTTATTGTGATGTACATGCTGACGGTTTGAACACCATTCTGGGAGCAGCTAGAAATTACTTAAACAATTTATGTATTACTCACTTAAGTGAAATGTGTTTTTGATTCATTTTCTTGTTTGTTTTTCTTTTAGATAGAATCACCTGCTTTTTGTATGTCTTCTATTATTGTTAGTTTGATTTATCTTTTCGTAGGATTGTTCTGTAAATGTTTACCTGAATTGTTGGACAATCAACGCTATTAATTATTGTGTACTATTATACAGGGTGTGAACGTTATGCTAGTCATTGTTGAAATGTATATCGACCACAATCACCACAATCTTACTATTTTTTATAATCTAATATAAAACGTTTTTAAACTGGGTAATTAACAAATAAATGGCATTAAGTTTTTCTGAGTTAAGCCAAAATTTGTAGTCGGTAAGTAAGTAAATTTCATTAAATTAAATATTTAAAACACATATGACAACAGCGCGTCGCCATCACTCTCATCGAACCGGCAATCGATCGCAAACGGTAACACTGGTTAGTTATCGGGCATCGGGCGTGTTTTTTGTTTTTGTTCGCGTACGTCGTCGTGTTTGTTTACAATGTTCTCGAATCACGAGTTCTCCAACATCTTAGTACGGTGAAGCTCGTCAGAATTCAAATCTTGCAGCTCAAATTTATCGCGACATGTTTCGCCGACGGGTACACCCAGACAGAAGGACATTCGTGCAAGTGTACCAAGGACTTGAAAATCCGGATTTTTTTAAAAACATTCTAGCGACGGACGAATGTACTTTTACGCGCGACGGGATATTAAATTTCCATAATACTCACACGTGGGCCCAAGAAAATCCTCATACCATTCGTGAAGGTCATTTCCAACAAAGTTTTAAAATGAATACTTGGGCAGGTGTTCTTGACGATCAGGTAAGTGGCCCTTTCGAGTTACCCCCAAAGTTATCAAGGAGAAGGATACCTTAGCTTTCTAGCCAATAACCTACCAGAACTTTTGGAAGAGACCTTAGACAACATGCCATTACAACGGAGACAGAATTTGTGGTTTCATTCAGTATTTGAATGAACATTACCCAAACGCTGGATCGGTCGAAATGCTCCTGATCCTCGAAAATGGCCAGCAAATTATCCTGATCTCAATCCTATGGATTTCTGGTATTGGGGAGAACTTAAAGGACTTCGAGGACCTAGAGTAAGAAGAAACTGGGTTCGTCGTAATGAAACTTGTGTGGAAAGTGGAGAACGACATTTTGAACACCTTCTCTAAATACAAAAAAAAAGTGCAGTGTAGGTTTTAAAATGAAAAACAACGTATGTATCGAAATTGTGTTCCCTATTTATAAGTGGATTTCTTTAATACGTTCAATAAACATTATTAAATAATGAAATAATGCCTAAGAGCCAAAAATAACAAACTCCATCTTTACTTACACTGCGATCCGTCGTAATTTGCGTCTGGCATTGCGGCGTTGTCAGATTTATAGAAAGTCGCCTTTCTCTAAAAAAATGCCGTTTTGACCCTCATGTTATATGAAACTTTTTTCTTCTTTTACCCCCATCTATTTGAATAATGACTATCATAACGTATAGGCTTGACTTTTTCTAATCTATTCGAAGTCGTCCAGAAAAGTCACTAAGAGGAAGGAGATTACCAGTTGCCACAAAAATGCAACAACGTTGTACACGGTTGGTTATAGTCGAGACTGAAAGCAAAGAGATTCTGTTCAACCAATCTTCAGGTCTTCACCAGAGAGATGCTGCAGTTGTGGAACGAAGAGGAAAAACCTTTATCTTTTTCTTCTGAAATCTCTGGACAACTAGGCTTGACTAAAAATATCTTGATAACGATACTCTGCCAATATTTTCAGGTGAGAACTAGCGGATTATCCTGTACGCGAAGTGTTTTGCGATTGAGTTATCAACGATAAAGGCGATTATGGAATAGTTATGGCTGAAAAGTGGCTTGCGTTGGTCGATTTATAGCTCGTAAATGTGAGTGCGTGCGTGAAGCGTTTACCGTTTTTTGAGCGCATGACTGTAAATCAAATCACATAAATAGGCGACCTTCCCGCGAGCCCTCAAGAGCATTTTTACTCCTCGATCATGAAGCGAAAGAAGTGTTGCGGTCAACAATTTTTTGTAATTTTTGATTGAGATACTTACAGTGGACAGTTTTTCGATTTCCTGATCTGAAGCTCCGAGTGAAGCGAGACCAATTTCTTGCGAGAACTGTGCGAAGCTGGGGTCGGCAAGAAGAGGCATGTGTCCCAGTATTTCGTGAATGCAATCTCTGAAAATTAAAAATAACATTTGGATATTTGTTTTATTAGAATCCTGCATTGTGATGATCATTAACAAGGAGAGACACTGTGTAATTTAGTTGGCTAATCCAAAAATCGTTGTTCATGTTGCGTTCATGTATGTAACCATTCTGGTGAGAGATGCATTTTGCACTGTCTTATTTCGATCAAATAGCAAATGGCAATTTTCTATGATATGACAGGAACGACAAAGACCGATATTGCCGATATGATAATAATAATTTATTGATGTGAATACACAGAAAGTGTTTACACAAGTCAATATATACTAATAGAACGCTTAGAAAAATGTACATCAAACATGAATAAAACAAGTTAAAAACAATGCAATGCTGCGCATAATTACCAAAAGCAAATTGACAAAAAAAACAATACAAAAATGTCATCATGAGATAAAAGAAGATCGCTTAGAAAAATATATGTATAATACAATTAACTATACACATACAGACAAACAAAACAATAACAACTATACATAAGTTGGAGAGAGAAATGAATAAATAAACATTTAAGGTATATCAGTAAAGTCATTTGACAAATATTCGTCCGTGCTAAAGAATGCGTTTTTTATTAAATAATACTTGAGTTTCCTATGAAAAACATATCAATATCCGATGTTTTTATATTGTTGGGCAGCAGATTAAAAAATGTGATGCCATATAAGTTTGTTCCAGTTCTTGATTTTTCTAGAAGGTAGTTATTATGACAAATCTTGTTTCTATTTCGTGTTTCATATTTGTGGTTATCACTATGAGTGGGGAAGGTACTAATGTTACTTTTGATATACAGGGTTTCAGTTTATTGTTGCAAAACTTTAAGATTCGATAGAGCTTTTAAAATTAATGCATAAAGTCTATATAAACATGGGTCGAAAAATGCGTGGCTTCCGAAATACAGGGTGTTTAAATTTACTTTCTAAAATAGTTTTTTTTAAATATTTCGAACAATATTTGATGTATAACAGTGAAAATTGGTATACAAGGGTTTTTTGGTACGACAAAACGAACCAAGGGCATAGTTTTACTGTAGCTGCTAGAGGGCGCTCTCTATTGTACCTGCAGTGTATTAAAATGACCGAAAATTTTTTCTTAGTGCAATTTTTGCTTTTTGAATAAAAAAAATGATTCTTCGCACTTTTCAACATAAAAAGCTGTGTTGTGAATTTTCGTTATAGTTAGCCGTTTTTGAGATATTTCGATTTTTAAGGTTCGATGCATTTTTAATCATTTATGATAAAATAACGTTAAAAAGTCAGTATCTCGATAATTTTTAGAAGTAGGCTGTGCCTACAAATATTTTTGAAATTGAAAGCAGAATAAGGTTAAACGTCAATTAGTTGACAGTTTTGTTGTCTGTTGAAACCTGAAACGTTTTTTTGCAGTTGTGAATGCACGAAATTTAGTTTCTTTTACCTGTTTTTTTTTTGTTAGTTTTATTAAAATGCCATTTCTATTCTTCAATCAAGAGTTAGCGGATATTCATTTTGTGTATGGCTTTGTAAATGGAAACGCAGCAGAAGCAGCCAGAGAATACGCACGAAGATATCCAAACAGACGACATCCAACTCGCTCAGTATTTGTAAGAGTGCATCGCCAAATAATTGAAAATGGTTTTGGAAATCTCCAAAGGGATCAAAACATAAATGTTCGTCAGCGCAGATTTACCCGTATGATTCTGCGTGAGTTTGATAGAGATCCGACCACAAGTGTTAGGAGAGTTTCTGGTGCCTTGGGAATTTCAGCAAGCCATGTTCACCGTGTTCTTAGAAATGACCATAGACGTCCTTACCATTTGCAACCTGTGCAAGGACTACAGCCAGGGGACGGAGAACGAAGAATCACATTTTGTCAGTGGATTCTTGATAGAACTGATAATAATAGGGAGTTTTTAAGTAACGTTTTATGGACCGATGAGTCATGCTTCACTAGACGTGGAGTGGTAAATTTTCATAATCAACATATTTGGTCGTATGAAAACTTTCAGCATGAATTTAGTGTGAACGTGTGGATTGGTATCTACCGTAATCGACTATTTGGACCCTACCTTTTGCCTGCAAGGGTAAATGCTGCGACCTTCTTGGAATTTTTAAAGGCTGAACATGCAAATATGTGGGATGTTATGTTAGATTTAAGAAGATTGGCCTGGTTCCAGCTTGATGGTTGTCTAGCTCATTATTCGAGAATAGTTAGAAACTGGCTGGACGAAAATTATCCAGAAAGATGGATCGGCCGTGGAGGACCAGTCGCCTGGCCTCCACGATCGCCTGACCTAAATCCATTAGATTTCTTTGTTTGGGGATTTCTAAAAGAAAAAGTGTACCAGACTCCTGTAACCACAAGAGATATGCCAAAAGAAAAAATCAGGAATGCATGTGATGAAATAAGGCCTTGTTTGAATAATGCTATACCACGTTCGATCATTCGTAGATGTGAATTGTGTATTGAACAATTGGGTTTACATTTCGAGCCACTACTTTAGGTTTTGTATGTTTGTCCTAATCAACCAATAGCATTTTAGTTGTAAATAATTAATTTAATTTGTTAAAAATAATATTGGAAAATTAAACAAATTAATATTCTGTTTTTTTGTGTTTATTTGGAGTTAGGAATTATTGCTGTGTTTAAAAACACAATCTAAACGATCATCTTAATTACTTGTAATGCCCAAATCGAAAATGTAAAAAAAAACATTATTTTCCCATAAATAATTAAAAATGCATGGAACCCTAAAATTCGAAATATCTCAAAAACGGCTAACTATAACGAAAACTGACAAGAGAGCTTTTTTATGTTGAAAAGTGCGAAGAATCAGTTGTTTTATTCAAAAAGCAAAACATTGCACTAAGAAAAAAAATTTGGTCATTTTAATACACTACAGGTACAATAGAGAGCGCCCTCTAGCGGCTACAGTAAAACTATGCCCTTGGTTCGTTTTGTCGTACCAAAAAACCCTTGTATACCAATTTTCACTGTTATGCATCAAATATTGTTCGAACTATTCAAAAAAAACTATTTTAGAAAGTAAATTTAAACACCCTGTATTTCGGAAGCCACGCATTTTTCGACCCATGTTTATATAGACTTTATGCATTAATTTTAAAAGTTCTATCGAATCTTAAAGTTATGCAACAATAAACTGAAACACCCTGTATAGGAGACAACTCAAAATATTCGCTCATGGAAAGGTTAGTATGGCCAATTTAATGAATTCAGTCTTGCAGGGGTCTCTATACTCTAAACCAGAGATGTATCGTATGCAACGCCTTTGCATGCCAAACACTTTTTGCATATGTGGAGAGTGTCCGCAGACCAAAATTGCATATGTCATTTTAGAGTGGAAATATGCATGATAAGCAGTTAATAAAACTTTATCAGATACTCTATCCTTTAGACCACGTATGAGATATATAACTCTGGACAAACGATCGAGCACACAGCGAGTATGCACCTCCCATGTCAGAGTACAGTCAATATGAACGCCTAGCAATTTCACTGTTCGAGCAGATTCCAACTCATGACTGCGTAAGCTTAGTATTATAGACTGAGTTTTATCAGTGTTGAGCAATAGCATATTGGCAGCAAACCAATCCTCAAGGTCCGACTTACACAATGAACTAGTTTCGAGGATGTTTACATATTTATTAGAATTTACCAAAGTAGTGTCATCAGCATATAAGAACAAAGCAGCATTGTGCGTTACTGACAGGCTATTGGGAATATCATTAATGTATTATAAAAACAGCAGTAGTCCCAGTACGAAACCCTGAGGAACTCCATGGATCACTGATCTGGTATCAGAGTTACAGCCATTGAAATGTACTAGATGTTCTCTGTCCGATATGCCGATATACATATCCGTCGATCCCTAGTAGTAATCAACTTAATACAATTTCCAAGGAAGATCGAGTTACAAATGTCTTAAAACTATTTTTCAAATTGTCTTACATCACACTGTATACGTCTGATGGGCGAGAAAACCCTGAGCCTACTAGATACTGTTGAACATTGCACTTAGAACATCCTGAAATAATTCTCCTAATTTTGGCTTTGCAGGAATTAAATTTCAGTCAAGGGTAAGAGGATTTCCTTCCGATTCAGATTTTCTCCTATTGCCCGATCCCCCAGAGATATGTTTCGGGAATTCGTTTTGTAGTGAGTATTACGTTCAATCTTTCTTTCTAAGTTGAGAGTATTAACTTTTTATTGCCCCTTTTCATTTCATCTGCGCACGAGGCATTGCAGTCCTGCAGAAGCTTGATTTTCGGATAGTGTTACGTTCTAAAAGTATTGCATATAGAAACATAGTAGGCCGCGCGGATCGAACGTCAGTACTGAATCTTAACCTCACTCCTTAGTAAACTTAAATTCAAAGTTTCACAACAATACGTGCAGTGTTCTCACTACAGTGAATTTCTAAATGTCACCAAGAACTCAACCGAAAACATTTTCGCGCCATAATTTATTACAACTTTCAGAGACAGTTATCTCAACAAGCATGCCTTGCTGAGTTACTTCCTATTTTCGGCAACGAAGCGTCACTTCAGTCGACAATTTCTTGTTGGTATGGAGAATTCAAACGTGGACGGGTGAGTTTTAGCGACGATCCCAGGGTGGGTGCACCCAGGAAAACCTCGATGCTGTGCGCAAACTCATCATTGAAGACAGACATGTGACATATCGTAAGATTGAGGCATCCTTGAAGATCTCAAAAACCTGCATTCAAAAAATTTACATGAAGAATTACGAGCAAAGGACTGTTACTGCGGATTGGTATACCACCAGTTGTTTGCCAAAAGTCATCACCGAGCTTCAAGAAATCAACCCCGAAAGATGATCATCCCCCACCAAGACAATGCCAGCTCGCACACAGCCCAAAAAACAAGGCAGTATTTAATGGAAGAAAACGTGGAATTATTGGACCATCCTCCATATAGTCCCGATCTAAGTCCTAACGATTTCTTTACTTTCCC